ACAAAAGATGTAAAAGAATTGAGATTAAATGGTTATAAGAGTTTTTAACTGTATGTGAGGGAATATAATAATATTCAAAGGTAAATCCCAAATAATTAAAAATGTATGTTGTAAATCTTACAAAGATCCATATGTGATGGGAGATGATGAAATTCATCTCTGTCTTAATCATGATGAAGGTTGCATACTTTTTGCATTTGTAAAATTCACATAACTGGCAAAAAGAGTACAGGCAAAAAGAGTACATTAAAAAAGTGTATATATAAATGATAACTCAATAAGCCTAAAAAGTAAAATAAAAGAACTTCCTTTATTCTTTTATTCTTACTGTCACAAATATATTGTTGATTTCGATACTGTTTGAGGGCAAAGAACTACAGTAATGGAATTTTTGATTCTTATTAAAGATTTTAGGGAATGGCGCATCCTATCTGTAATTATGAAGTCCAATATTCCAATGCTCTTGTTAGATAAGCTTAAAATTTAGAGGTTGTATTAGCAGAGATGGGAACATAAAGGGCATTGGACAAATACTTTTCAAGGCTCAGAAACAAACGTTACTTTGATTTATATACTCTTAATAACTTTATGGACCTGCAAAAAAAGTCTAGTAACAAAAATGTGCAGTTATAATATTAAATGGGTCTCATGACAAGTATTATTCTTTTAATTGTCCATACAATTTCTCCTAGCTCAGTTTTAGATATTTCCAGAAGAATACAGGAGAGTGGAAATCTAAGAGAGGCGGGGGTGAAGTGGAAGAAAAGAAGTTAATGGAAAGGGACTGTTCTTAATTGCACTTTGACTCCTCTTACAAGCAAGATGCTTTATTGGAGAGCTGCTGTGGGAACTCTGGTATTTAATTTCCTGACATTTCTGAGAATCAAATCTAACATGTTTGGTTCGATTAACATAGTTTAGTGAGGATGTTGGTTTTTCTGGTCTCTTCTGACAAGGAAAAGCCAGACTAATACTAAAATCTGATCATGTCTTTTGTTAAAACAAATATTCTAAGCCAATCTTCCTATCAAGGGAACAGAATCCCGGTATAGATCACCAGGTAGGCTTTCTTCAGACACCTTGCTTTGGGTAGGGCCTGACCGTCTCGGGAGAGAAGAGAATTTTGCTTTGCTTTATTTGGTTTTCCATGCAAGTGTATTCGCAATACCTAACATGTGGCTTGGTATAGAATTCACAGTGAATATATTCTTCATGTGTGTAAATGAGTGAATGAATAAGTGAACTGAATGAAAGCTATTATCAATTAGCATATATGACTGATATTTAGAAGAGGTTGGTAAGAATGCATTCATCCTCTCCACATCCATCGTGGCTGGTCTCTACATCTGAGCCAGAGACTAAACAGTACATGAGAACCAAGCATTATATTCAGTTTGTTTTGAACACCTCCAGTTTCTAACAGTTGTTTGGAAATCATTATAAAGGTTGCAGAAAAACATATAATTCTAAATGGAAACTTGAAAATAGCCTTAGCCGTCTCTCATAGAAGGAGATACTGTATTGCTGCTGTTAAATCAAGTGGACTTAAATCCCAATTAGAAATACTACTACTTTTTAACTGTAGTAGTATGAGCAAGTTCTTTAACCTCTCTGCCTCTTAGCTTCACTCATCTATAAAATCGATCTTATAAAGCCTAGTTTTACAAGGTTATTAAAGATTAAAGGTAAATGATTAAATTATTTAGAACAGAAACCTACCTAATTTAAATTTGGAACATATTGTACATTTCTTTCCCCATTTTTAAATTAAATTTATTTTTGACTAATAAAAACATAAAATTATACATATTAATGGAGTATTATCTGATGTTTTGATATATGCATACATTGTGTAATTCTCAAATCAGTTCCCACATATCCACCTCCTCAAATACTCATCATTTCTTTATTGTAAAAACACTCAAAATTATTTTTTTCTTTTTGGAGTACACTGTCTATATTTGTCATCTATAGTTGTCCTACTACTGTGCAACATCTGATCAGAGCATTTACACAGCTCTAACTGTAACTTAGTACCCACTGATCAGCTTTTCTCATCCCTTCTTCTGCCCTGTTCTTACAGGCTCTGGTGACCACCCTTCTACTCTCAACTGCTATAAAATTAATTCGTTTTTTAATACTCCACATAAGAATGAGATATGGTCTTATTTGTCTTTCTCTACTTGTCTTAGTTTACTTAAAATACTGACTTCCACTTCTATCCACATTGTTGAAAAATGATAAAATTTCATTCTTTTTATAGATAAATACTAGTATTCCAGGGTGTACATATACCATATACTTCTTTTTGGTGATAATGGGGTTTGAACCCAAGGCCTTGACACTGAGCTATATCCCCACCCTTTTCCTTTTTTTAAAATTTTAAGACAGGGTCTTGCTAAGTCACTAAGATGGCAAGACTGAATTCAAACTTAATGATTCACATGGCTTAGCCTCACATAGTACTGGGATTACAAGGGTGCCTCACCATACTTGGCTACTTTTTCCATTCATCACATAAGGAATACTTAGACTGTTTCCATTTTTTGACTTTTATTAATGGTGCTGAAGTAAACATAGAGGTGGAGACATCTCCTTGACATACTAATTTCATTCTCTTTGGATATATACACAGTAGCAGGATTGCTAGATTGATGGTAGTTATATTTTTAATTTTTTGAGGAAACTTCACTATGTTTTGTATAATCCCTATACTGATTAACTATGCCCCAACAGTGTGCATGAGTTTCCTTTGCTCCATGTTGATGATGGCTTTTGGGGGGGTGGAGGTTGTCTTCTTAATAATAGCCATACAAACTGGGATGAAGTGGTATCCCTTGTGGTTTTAATTTGCATTTCCCTAATGATTAGCAGTATTAAGTATTTTTTCATATACTTATTGGACATTTGTATCTCTTCATTTTGGAAATACACAGTTAGATCTATTGTCCATTTTTAAAATGGGTTATTTTGTTATATGCTATTGAGATTTTGGAGATCCTTATATATTCTGGATGTTAATTTTTTGTCAGATGCATAGTTTGCAAACACTTTCCCATTCTATAAGTTGTCTTTTTGCTTTGATGATTGTTTCTTAGTATTTTAGTTTGATATAATCACATTCTGTTTATTTTGGTTTTGTTTCCTAAGCATTTTAGGATCTTCTTTTAAAAAATTGCTCTTTACAATGTCATTGTGGTTCTCATATTTTCTTTTAATAGTTTTATAGTTTCAAGTCTTATGTTTAAACACTTAATCCATTTAAATTGATTCATGTAACTGGGGATTGACAGAGGTCTATTTTCATTCCCCTGCATGTGAATATCCAGTCTTTGTAGTACTTTCATTGAAAAGACTGCCCTTTTTCCAAAGTATGTTCTTAACACCTTTGTTGAAAATAAATTGGCTGCAGATGTATGGGTTTACTTCTAGGGTTGCTCTTCAGTTTCATGGGTCTATGTGTCTCCTTTTTACGATTTTCCATGCTGTTTTAATTACTACAACTTTGTAGAATATGTTGAAGTCAGATAGTGTAATTCCTTCTCTTTTAGTCTTTTTGTTCAAAATGACTTTGGCTATTTAGGATTTTATACTTCCAAACAAATTTTAATGTTGTTTTACAATTTTGTAAAGAATGTCATTAGTGGTGGTTCTCTGGCCTGGGAGGCAGCTTGCACGGGACATCGGCACTCTGTGGAGGAAAGTAAACCAAGATTTCATTTCCAGTATGGAAAGCCCATCAGACTCGGCTGTGATTTTACCTAGCACTCCACAGGCCCATGAGAATCCACCATCTCCCCATACAAATAATTCACGGAAAGTGCCATGAGTGCAACACTTAAAGAAAGATTATGGAAAACAAGATTTTCATTTAATTCCTGTTGCAGTGTAGTAAAACGTCTTAAAATAGAGAGTGAAGAAAATGATGAGAACTTTTCTGAGAAACCAGCATCTTCAACAGAAGAAAACTGTTTGGAATTTCAAGAAAGTTTTAAACACATAGATAGTGAATCTGAAGAAAATTCATACTTGAAAAATACTCTAAAAAATATCAGTGCATGTGAATCTAATTCACTTGATACTAGGTCATACAATGCTCTTCAGAAAGACTCTGTGAATGAGAATCTTGAACAAGGATTAAAGGAAGAAAGAATAATATTGGTGAAGCAGGTGCAGGACAAGGAAGACCTTCAGAGGCTAAAACTAGTCAAAATGTATAGATCAAAGAATGACCTCTCACGGTTAGAGTTGTTGATAAAGAAGTGGAGAAGCTATAGCCAGCTGTTGTTTTATGAGTTGCAGTCAGCTATGTCTGAAGAGAACAAAAAACTAAGCCTTACTCACTTGATAGACCACTATGGGTTAGATGATAAATTGTTACACTATCACAGAAGTGAAGAGGAATTTATAGATGCTTAATTAATAACTTTTTTCTCAGAATATTTTTTCTTTCTCTTTTTCTTTTTTTTCAGTACTGACTGGGAGATCAAACCTAGTCCCTGCGCTTTTACCACTGAGCCATACCCTTGGCTCCTCTCCAGTAAATCTTTGAGAATGACAACTTAATGAAAAGACACTTAGACATTTTAAGGGAAAGATGTTAGCCATTAGGGCAGTGGTGGTGAGCCTATGGCACGTGTGCCACAGAGGGCTGTTTGTGTCCTTGAAAGCTCTAAAAGGTTCACCATCACTGCATTAGATGTAAGGTATCTTGACTGTCAATTTAGGGTACTCTAAAGACATATAAATTAAGTCCTAAAATGACATACAGTATTTTGAATAGATTTAACAAAGAGAATTTGACATTAACAGACATGTTAAAAGCTGGATTTGGTGGCACTTGCCTATCTGTAATCTGGGCATCCTGGGAGACTGATGAAGAAGGATGAAAAGTTTGGGCTCAGCCTGGCAACCTAGCAAGACCCTGCCCTTCGAGCCATGGATGGAGCTCAATGCAAAGGCCCTGAGTTCAATCCCCAAATACATGAATGAATGAATCAATGGGTGAGGGATGCAGTGAAAGTGCCAATGTGCCTGAGCGTGCACACACAAATTTAAACTATGTTTAAAAACTAATTTGGACAGTCCTGGGAACCAGTTTTAATATATTGTTTTGCTTTTTAAGACAAAAAGTCTTATTTTCAGTGTTAGTCCAATCTGGTGAATGTCTAAACCTAAACTGGTCCAAAAGTTCTCACCTCTCTCCTAAGAGAGAGGTGAACCTTGTTTCCATTCATTTATTACATCTTGTCATCTGCTGATCTCAGATAATTAAACTTATGTCCAAAATATTTTTTAAAAATGTCATTAGTATTTGGCTAAATATTGCACTGAATGTGTCGATTGCTTCGAGTGGTATGGCCATTTAAACAATGCTGATTTTTCTAATCCACAAATATGACTGTCTTTCCAATTTTAAACCCTCTTTATCTTCTCTCATAAATGATTTATAGCTTGCATTATAGAAATCTTTTAACTATTTAGTTAAATTTATTCCTAGCTGTTACATATTTGTAGCTATTTGGGTATAGAAAAATATGAATATGAGCCAGATAAAAGAGACATCAAAGAAAACAAGATCATTCTTGCCTTTCGCTGTAAGCAATAACTTTATCACTGTAAGGCTGCAACATGATCACCTTTTTATATAGTTTTCGCATGACTAGATTTAAAATGTAATGGGGCATATAATAAACAAATTATTTCTTTGCCAGAGTTTTCTCTTTCTTGTTTTCATAATATTTACCCAGGAGGAAAACAAATTTATTCTTTACCAATGCATCTGGCATCTATTATATTTTATTCATATTATATATGAGCCATATTTTAATATTTTTATCAAAAATAACTATATGTAAAAGATTAATTACCTAATTTTATATTTCTTTGTGACAAGACATAAGTCCTGCTCTAGAAAGCATGTAGACTAGTGAAGAAATAGATACCTGATCAGCTATAAGACAAAGTAATAAGTATTGTAGTAAATGAGAAAACTCATTTTGAATGAATGTGAAAATGAAAAACTATTTTGCCTAAAGTTATTATAAAGTGGTATTACATCAGGAAAGCTTATAATTAGGGTATTCAGGATGATAAAAAGGGCCTACATTTTAATCTTTAGCTGACTATATGTTAATATTGTTTCCCAATGAAACATAATAATGGTCATTGAACAAATACTTATACATATAAATTGTAAATGAAGAAGAATGTTTACAGTATTTTTTTAAAAAATTGATTCCAGGTTTATATATTAGTACCACTTGTTCCAACAAACAGAATATTTTATTTCTTGTTGAATATACAGTAAATGTTTTTAAGCAAATTAATGTGTAAAGATAAACGTAATTTTAACAAACAAAAGAATTCGACAACCCTGGGAGTACATATTTTTATAGCTTTCTTAAAGCCTAACTTACATACCATAAAACCTAACCATTGTTGGGGTATAATACAATGCTTTTAGTAAATTTATAGACTTGTGAACAATTCTCGCAACCCAGTTTTAGAAATCTTGCATTGCCCCAGGTATTTCTCTTGACCCTGTTGGCAGTCTGTTCTACTTCCATTTCTTCAGATTAGTTAACCGCGTATATTAGCTGCCTTTTAATTGCTTACCCTTACTACATAAAGGACAGGTTTAATTGGCTTACAGTTTAAGAGGATTCTATCCAAGGTGAGATGGTTACAAGGCAGAAGTAGCATGGTGGAAAGTTATTGAGGTGGAAGGCTGCTCATCCCATTACAGCCAAGAAGCAGAGAGAAACGGGAGGCACTGAGAACAAGAACACACCTTTCCAGGTCATGCCCCAAGTGACCCACTTTCTCTAACCAGATCCCATAACAAAAATTCAAATATGAATTTATAGCTGGGTTAATCCATTGGTGATTATATAGACAACAACCTTCAAAATGCCTTACCTCTGAACACATGAGCCTTTTGTGGGACACATTCGATGCAAACAATAACATCACTGATTTGGGGGACTATTTTGGAACTCTACTTTCTTGTTTTATTGATTTGTCCTTAGTTAACCCAGAAAATTGGAAATCACTAACAATTCTTATGGGACTATAGGAGAGAGACAGTGATTTGGGGAAAGAGACTTGAATTAAGAACAGAGGTGCCTCCGAGCCACCTTCATACTTGGAGAAGAGCAGTAAACTTAACTTTATAGCCTGTTTTTTCTACCTATGAGGACAGCCACTTATTGCTGGAGATAGTCAACTGCTGTTCAGCAAATGCTGCTGGTGTGTGGCATTCCCAAACCAGTGCCTGTGTGTTGGAGATGCTGTCCTTCTCTTTTTCTCTTAGTAGCTTTGGCAATCTCATCATGCTGAGTCAATAAATGGGAACAAGGAGAAATAGGTGGGAAACAATAGTTTCCTGGAGGCTGTATAGTTTTCTCAGCATGAACTTTAACTAGGGAGAGCTTTTTTTAGATAGAGTCTTTTTAAAAGCATTGATTACTTATACTTCCATACATGTATACATATCTAGAAAAGTCAAGTGCCACTTATGAAAGAATAGGGATTTAAATTTAACCCAGGATTAATTTTTCTTCTCTTTCCTTCCTGTCCCTGCTAAACAAAAACATGTGATATATGTAAAACTAGTATGTCCTACTGTGAGTTTCTTTGCATTATTTTTAAGTCTTTTGGGGAATGAGAAAGTCATGATTAGTGATTTGTAATTTAGTTCCATTCTGATTAATCAGGATTTAAGCTGTAATTTCTGCCACTATGAATTAAATGTCACAGTTCATTAGAGTAGAGCCAGTTCAGTCCATTCCAACTTTATACCCATGTTTCCTATGTTAAATCCTTTTTTCAGGATTTATTAACTTGGCATCAAGATGTCCCAAATGTATCTTGTTTCAATTAAAGAAGAAAATATCACAGTGTAACTTTTTCAGTTGCATTAATGTTCAGGAAGACGGGTGTGAGCTGTAGAAAAAGATGTTTAATTCTAATGATTTTGGAAATAACTTTAGATAGGTTATGTTAGGAATCAGCAGATATAAACCAGCTTTCACTTGTGCATTTCATTATAAGACATGTTTATTAAGTTTCTGTACCCCCTAATCCTATTACTAATTTTATAGAAATACGTATTGGTTTTAAATGTGCATTTTAAAATTTATATAGTAGCTTTATTCAATAAGCTTTATAATTATGCCACAAATATTCATTATTATCTTTGTATGGTGCATCAACTCATTTACAAAGTGAGGTTTCATATTCTATCTCAAACAATAATGTAAATATGTGGGCTCTGGAATAAATTTTAAATGCTATAATTGCACATTGTATATACTTTTAAAATTGTACATGTGGGAAGAAAACTTATTACATTTTTAGCTTGGCTGCCTCACCTATAGTTCTTATATATATATTAGCTAAATAAATAAAAATTCATATATAACAAAATTTGGACCTATAATTTGTAGTTATTTGCTAATTATTTAATGAATAACTACTCATGTTATAATGTATGTGCAATTATCACAACAGATAATATATAATTAAAATTTATCTTTCAGACAACACAGAAATTTGTGTGATTATAGAGAAATATGAAATATTTAATAAGCAAGAAGCAAAAATAAAAACACAATTATCAAAGTTTAGAATATAATTAATATATATTCAAAGATATTATTCAGGAAAATCTTTTTATCTACAGATTCTGATAGCTCTGCTTTTCTGTTTTAGAAAGCTCTTCAAGAAAGGTTTTCTGTATTTACTTTGTTGAATGTCTCATTTTCTCTCCTACACTCTTTTCAATCAGACTTTTATCTCAAACACTTTTATCTAATGCACCAAATTCCTCAATCCTGGTGAAGCCAATAGGCAATTCTCAATATCTTTCTTCTCAGTGTGTGTTTTAGAATTGATCATTTCTTTGTACCTGAAACACTTTCTAGGGTTTATTTCTGGACCAAAACTCCCTGTGGTTTTTCATTCAACGCTGTGCTTATTTTTTCAACAGCATCCTTTACTGGTTTGTCTATTTCTGATCTTCACATTACTGGTTTGTAAATTTTAGTGTGCTCAAACACTCCATTCTTTGTTATATTTTCTATTATTATCAATCCCATTACCTGAAAAGCAATCTATATTATTATTGCATGTTGCTATGGGTTAAATTTTATCCCCTACAAATTAATATGTTAAAGATCTTAAAATACCCCGGAATATAACCTTATTTGCAAATAATTTCCCTAGCCCCAAAGCAATGGTTAATTGTATGGAGACAGAAATTGTTTTTTGTTTTTTGGGGGGTTTTTTTAGTTCTTTTACTGGTACATTTTAGGTATACAATTTGTTTACATTTATCATTGGGTGTTTGTACCTGTACATGATATATCTTGGTTCTTTTTTTTTTCCCCATTACCTGTGCACCCTTCACCACCTCTGCCCTTCCCTATTTACATAGATTTCATTTCCATTTTTTTTTCTTTTCTCATAGTTTTTCCTTTCCCTCTTTTCCTATCCCCTTCCCCTCCCTTCACTCCTTCATCTTTGGACCTTTTTTCCTATTTCAAATTATCAATTGTTCATTTTAATCATTTTAACCCTTGTTTACACTATCAGTTTCTCACACTAGTGAAACTATTC